GTGTTAATTATTTTATATGAAATATAAGGATGCATGAGAACAAACTTTACAAAAAAGTAAAAAAAAAAACTTTACAAAAAGATGACCGTCGGTTTGATCTCTGAAACCTAAGGTAAGAAGACAACTTAACGGACTGAAAATGTATGTAAATCTTAAAAAAATTCTGCAAGTTGGGTAATACATAAATCATTCTATAACTGGCCACTATATTTTGAAGAGCCCAAATCCATTTTGTTAAAAACTCAAAAAATCAGAATGTTACAAACCGAGATGAGAATTAATTTTGTCCGGTTTGATTTCAATTAGTAAATGCTGACATGGCTTTTTTTGCCCCCCTTACAAATGCTGATGTGGATGCATGAGAAGGGAGAAAACTTAACTTTATTGTATAAGATGTGTGTATCCAGAGAATGATAAAATGACATTTTATTTAATTATGCATATCTAGCTATCCGAGATGACCGATACTATACATTCGAATTTGATCAACGGCACTTATACAAATTATAGTCAAAATAATAAAACTAGTTTTATCTCTAGCAAAATGATAATGAATTAAGCTGTATATATATATAGACAGCTTATACAATTTAAATACCCTAAGTGGTATTTTGAATTTATACAATCAAGGTTATGATTTAGTTATAGTTATATTTACAAACTTTTTTTTTTTTTTTTTACAAACCTAGTTAACAAATAACAATGATAAAAATCGTTCATACGGAAAATGCATCAGAAGAATTACTTAAAAGTTAAACACTAACGTTTTAATGGAAAACGGCCTAAATAATAGGAACGAAGTAGGTTGCTGCATTGATAAAACATTTTTATGAAAAATGCTCAAAATAATATAAAATATAAAAACTTTTCTTTATCACCTAGTTTTTTTTCATAAATAGTGCAGCTAATTAAGGCACCATTGTTCCAAAATGCCTGACCTTTTATATAAATCAACAAAGGAGTTATTTGAAAAACAACTTTCTAAAATTCGTTATGTTAATTAATGTGTGGTTGTTCAGTTTTTTTTTTTTTAATAAATCTCATAGTAAAATGGTTTTCGCTAACAACAATGCAAATTGCGCTAATATAACTGTAACTAATTGAAGGTGACTTCTTACATGTATATACATCTCATATATATATAATATATGCACATGTTTATTTGTAAATGTAGAATACTATTAGCATCGACCAAAAAGTCGAAACATGGATTCACATAAAACAACAGCAGCTAGAATCCATACTTATTCTTGGTGATGTCTAAGCCATGGATACATGTGTAGAAAATTATATATACTAATACCTGTA